GCCCGTTGACAGTCCATGTCATATTGGTGCTTATGTCCGCTATGCCATCAATGTCACTGAGCCGGCGGATATTATTGCGGGCATTGAATTTGCCAAGAAGAATAATGTTCGCCTGGTCATCCGCAATACGGGTCATGAGTAAGTGTGACATTTTCTGTATAGTTAGCTAATTAGATACGAGCTAATTGCGTTGTTTCATGTAGCTTTATAGGTAAATCCTCTGGGCCTGGATCACTGTCTCTTTGGACCCACCACCTTAAGGATATCGAATACATCCCTGAATACAAATCGGAGGCCTATCATGGGCCGGCGCTCAAGGTTGCTGCCGGAGTCCAGGGTATCGAGGCTTATACCGTTGCGGACAAGAACGGTGTCGTTGTTGTCGGAGGCGTGTGCCCTTCGGTCGGTATTGCCGGTGGATATACGCAGGGTGGTGGCGTTTCAATATTGGCGGGCAAGTATGGTCTCGGGGCTGATCAGACCCTTGAGTTTGAGGTTGTGACCGGAGAGGGCAAACATGTCAATGCAAGCAAGACCGAGAATACGGACTTGTATTGGGCCCTCAGCGGTGGTGGTGGGGGTACATATGGTGTTGTGACCTCCATGACTGTCAAGGCGCACAAAGATGCCCCCATGACCGTCGCACGTTATTCCTTCGGAACTAGCACTGCCGGTGCCTCTCTGGATAACTACTACGACGCTTTCGACTTTCTCCACCAAATGGCCCCCGGGTACTTTGACCGCGGTGGCTACAGCTTCAATATCTACTCTAAGGGATCCCCCTCTCTTGGCTATTTCTTCGGCCCCGAGTGGACCCCGGAAGATACGGCTGCCTTTTTCCAACCATGGGTTGAGAGACTTGAGTCTCTTGGTGTGCAATACTCTCTCAACATCACTGAGTACCCCGGCTATCTCACTGCCTATAACTCCATCAACAATATCGCAGACGTAGGAGCCTCACAGTCTGGCGGTCGTATAATCCCGAAAGACATTATCCTCAACAAGCGCGCTCAATACATTCAAGTTATCAAGACTATTATTGAAGACGGAGCCTCCTTGGTCGAGGTCGTGGCTCACCCCACCTTGGAGGTTGCCGGGAATCCAGATAATTCCGTTCTCCCTGCTTGGCGTGATAGCGCAATTTTCCTTATGACCACGACGTTAGTATTTCATTTTCTTCATTTTGATTTTTTTCTAAAAAAGAAGCATCTGGAAACTAACATGGATTTTCTAGCCCGTGGAACGACACCGCAGAATGGTCTCAGGCCCTCGAAGGTCAAAAGACTATCACCAAGTGGGAGGGACTGTTGCGCGAGTTGGCTCCCGAATCGGGCGCCTATATGAACGAAGCCGATGCCAACGAGCCCAACTTCCAACGCGAGTTCTACGGAGAAAACTATGCCGAACTCCTCGGCATCAAGAACAGGTATGATCCTGATGGTATCTTCTATGCCCTTACGGCAGTGGGAAGTGATACCTGGACTCAGAGCCCCGATGGAAGACTCTGTAAAACCAATCCCTAGTAATAATTCTCTTACTGGAACCCCCTTTTCTTTCTGTGTGTTAAAATGTGGGGACCATCTCTTGCCCAATCTGCAACTTCGTAGACCAATACAATCACACTACTCTTTGCTTTGTAGCCTAGCGTAATGACGATGATGAGGTGTTTAAAGAATTTTGAGTGAAATATGGAAAAACGTGAATCGATCCTTTAGTCTAGGCTTACAAAAAAAGAGGAAGAAGATATGGATTTATGGTTTCAAGAATTTGTATCAGGATGTTGTGATATTAGCAGTCTGACTTGACCAGTGTTCCCAACCGTCCCGAGCAGGGTGGGTAAGGACGGCAGGGCATGGTGTCCGTCCCGTCCGAAGTCAAGGACGGACGCTTGGGAACACTGGACTTGACCTCCATCAAAGTATACACTGTAGTCTTTGAAAGACTTTCTCATAACTCATTCATCAATGGGAGAGGATACCTCTTCTTCACTGTGATCTTATTTAGCCCTTGGTAATCTATCACCAACCTCAAGGTACCATCTGGTTTTGGTACGAAGAGTATAGGGGTTATGGATGCTGAAGTAGATCTTTCTATCTTCCCAGTTCTCAACATCTCATTGAGAAACTCTCGGAGCGCTACTGTGAGTCACTCCTTCTCTAATATCGGATAGATAGGTCCCCAGGGAGGTGTGCTTCATGGAATCAATTTGATTCTATGATCGTACTTTGTATGTTCCAGCAATGGATCCATCCTCTCTACGCTAAAGGTGTTTCAAAAATCCATATACTCAGGTAGGTGTCACGGCCACCCAGTTACGGAGACGGAACAGTTATTGGATTTTTGGTTGCATATATTGGTTGGGGTTTTCTGGTTGCTATGTGAAGGATTTTCTTTGGTACTTGATTGGGACATGTGGCCGCGTGGTGGAACTTGGCGGAACATGGTGGAGACATCGCGGCTGCGCATGACGCCAAGGGATTTCTTTTGTATTAGTGATCAGGGGAGAATTTCCTTCTATATAAGGGGGTGTACCCCCTTATATTTTATGTTCTTTACGCAATCTGGTAATCTCCTTTGGACACCTGTATCATACCTAGGAATTACACTCTCTCATACTTTGCGTCCTCTGGAACCCTTGAACCCTGACCCTGAACTCCTGACCTCCTGAACATCGTACAACTCGCTTCGGTTGTACGCCTGCCCCTAGACCTCGCCTCTGAACTTTTGCCTGTCCCTGTTGTAGTATGCCTTGGGCTACCCGACCCTCAGACCTTGTCCGTTACAGTAGGGGTTGGATCATGACATCTTCCCCCTTCTCATCCGAGAATTGAACAGTCCCGAGAAAATGTACATTTTCGGGATCTTCTGCTAGTAGCTCCTCATCGCTCATGTATACTAACTGCCTCTGCTCTGTCAGACAATTCACCATCAAGTTACAGAAATCTGAGTGCCAGGTTAGTGATCCTACTTTTCAATTGATATCAGGATTGTGATCTTTCAACTACGACATGGGTAGGTAGCCATTGACTCTAGTGTTAGCTATATCTGCTACCTCAAAGTACATACCATTCACATGATCACCTATCTTCAAGTCCAACAATTTAGTACAGTGAGGACCTGATCCTGGTATGTGGTTACCACTTGCATCACGTATTGGAGTATGAATCCTTCTTTGTATACAAGGAGGTTGGGTACTTGTAACCCATTGACTACTTAGTACTGGGCCAGTAGCTCCGCTATCTAATAATAATAGTACTTTGGCACTCACTTGCCTACACCTGATATGCCAATCTAATATTACTTATAAGTGAATCGATTTGCTATGCTTAAGTGGGCTAGAGTGCCTAGCCTTCTTACTTTGTCTCACAATACTCATTCTTGCTAGTCTCTTACCTTTCGATACAAGAGCGACCACAATAGGTTGGTAAATGTTTCAAGAATAGTTTAATTAGTGGAATTGGAATGCATGGTGGTTTTACTATCACGCCAGCATGATTTCAGGTCCTTAACCCTTCTCAGATAAACTTGAAGGATAACTTTTATTCAAGACAAGCCTGAAAAACTAATTTAACTGTAACGTATTTTACCTAGTGTTGGGACATGTCATAGTTATGGGACACCTCTCAAAAACGGAACAGGTTGTGTAAAATTGTAAACTACAACATGATCACTAGTCAGAATTCATTATAATTTGGATATTAGTATAGGATTATGATTTTAGTTATAAGATCTAAAAATTATTTCCTACATCAATAATTATAAGCAGTTATATTGAAGAGAACCAAGACAGTGAGAATCTATGATTGGGACAGATTAAGATTTTTTAAAATTAAAGAAAAAATCAGAAAAATATTCTGTAACCTGGCTTGGATAGCAGTAAAGATTGCTCTTGAATACTCAGTTATAGTTTACTGTCTAAAGCTTTGAAGAGGCCAAGTTGTTAGTTTGAACACAAATGATATTGATGATTTCTATTTTACATACTCCTATAACTATATTTTTTCTACTTGTACCATCTTATATGATTTCTTTGTTCTACAAATTCAAGTTTTTAGAATTTTCTAAGACAGAAACCGCACCTCTGCTTCTTGCTTTTTACTTCCTCCTTTAACAACAATTTATATCCCTACTTTTCTATTCTCTACTGGCTTAATTTTTATTGCTTTACAGTTTACTACTATTTTAGATTTCTTTTTATCCACTTACTTATACATCTAATTAGTCCTACCTGTTAGTTAATACTAAGATATATAGTTCCTTGAAGTTGCCTATTATTTGTCTTTAGTGGTTTTACTATCTGAGTAATCATAATAACCTCTAGCTCTACAATTGTCATATGTATGTCATAATAAAGATTGATCCTCTGAAATAACTAACTCAGATATTCTTTGATAGAATAGGATTTTGAAATTATTAATGATTGTTGAATGTAGAAAATAAATATAGAGTGAGAAGTTATGATAATAAAGTGACAGGTATTGTAGAGAGAAAAGTAAAAAAAAGTATAAATTTATTCAAACTAACGACTTGGCCTTTTCAGAGTTGTGAACAATAAGCTATAACTGAGTATTCAAGAGCAGCCCTTACTGCTATCCCAGCCAGGTTACAGAATATTTTTCTGATTTTTCCTTTAATTTTAAAAAATCTTGATCTGTTGCAATCACAAATTCTCACTCTTGTTGTTCTCTTTTATATAACTGCATACAATTATTGATGTAGGAAATAATTTTTAGATCACACAACTAAAGCTCTAATGCTAATCTAATAACTAAGTTTTAAGGAATTCTGACTAGTGCTCATGTTGTGGTTGACAATTTTATACAACCTGTCCCATTTTTGAGAAGTGTCCCATAACTATAACATGTCCCAACACTAGGTAATATACGTTAGCTTGGCGCGCGCAGAATCCCCTGCACAAAAGCCGCTTTCATGTTTCCTGCGTTAGAAAAGTGCACCCACACCTTCCTCTCAACGAATCAATCCCATCACCACTTCACCTCTATTCTGCTTAGCTTTTCCCTTTATTTTCTCTACCCATCTCGGGTACGTTACACCCTTTCTACCGGTATCAGGAGTCGATTCTACCCTCCTATTATAACGAGGTAAGTTGATTTCATGTCATACCCATAAAAACTCGCCAACTCGTTACGCAGCCAAGGCCATCGTACAAGGATTGTGGCCAATTAGTGTGCTACGAGATGAGGTCCTGCATAGCGGTTTTGGCGAGCTTTTACGGGTATTTGTCTACTTGTATCTATTGAAGACTAACTTACTAAATTCATGAGAAGTTAACCGCCGATCATGTTCAGACTTGCCACTAAGCGGGCATTCGGCCCAGTGAGCATCTGCCGCTGCTACCCTAATGCCTACTATGCATCCAGGGCGACAGGCACTACTCCTGTAAGCTTATGATCCCCACGGGGTAAACTCGACCTGCCACTATTACATGTATGGCAGTCACTATCCCCAGAAAAGCGAATTCGCCACAGAGTTTGTCTTCAAGAGGAATAGTGGCTACCTTAAGAAGTACGGCGGCAGGTCAAGTTTACCCAGAATTTGCGGTGCTGTACCCAGTACACTGTTCTAACCAAGTGACAATATTCGGCAGAAGAAGTCAAACAATCCTAAACATAAAACTACATGTTCGGGGGCGCCTACAGGGGGGGACACTACTTCGGTGAGTTTAAGGTTTTAATGGCCCGCAAACTGTTCTAACAACATTCAACAGACCGAGAAGAAACGAACCACCAACTCTAAGTACTGGACCGCATATTCGAGGGTTAGCATGCTGGATGCCGAGAAGAGACTCCGGCTTATCTTCAGGGAATTCGAAAGGAGTACCATATCCACCAGCCAGATGTTAGCGCAGGTCAAGTCCGATATCAAAGGTCTCCAGGACGACCAACTCCAGCAAGCTAAGGAAGAGGTTTTCAACAATATGGTCGGATTTATTGAAGTCGAAGGGTATCCCACGGAATTAGATGAAGACTTCAAAGTAGCGAACATCAACGACCTGGTTCTGCTCACAATATTTCCCATACTGTTGGCGTTCAGACGCGAGACAGGGTATCAGCTTGAACTCCTAAGGGAAAAAGAAATTATTTTTACAGACTCTGAGACTGGTGGCTACGAAGAATTTGTTGGGATGGACTTTATTGGGATCGGGAACCGGAGGTTGGTCTTTGTTGTCGAAGCGATGAGGTCCTCTATTGGACAGGCCAAGAAGCAATGCCTCTTGGCCCTAAAAGATATGGGAGAGAGCAATGGTGGAGGCCCCGTATATGGGTTTGTCACGACCGGGGAACAGTGGCAAATGATCCGCTACGATCGTGGGGTTTTCACTCAGACAAGTCGCTTTCAGGTATTGTTAGATGGTATGGAACACAAGAAAGAGCAATGGATGAGGGAGGCCTCGATCATCGTGGACTGCATTCATGAGGTGTTTAGAAGCGGGGGATCCTTGGCACCATCTCCACTCCCGGAGCCCGGCAGTACGGCGATGGAAACTGACGAGAAGAAAGCAGAAGAGAGACGGGAAGATGCCAAGCCCCGATCAGAGCAAGCTAAAGCAATTGTTGCGACGACGACACTGGAGGATATACATTAGACCACGATTATAAAAGTATGGGGGGGCCTTTTTTTCTCTTCTTTATCATGTTTGAGCCGCATGATTCGGAGTGGGGGTCTGGTTGGGTTCTTCTCGCGGGGGTTTGTTTGTGGCTGGTGGTTTGGGGGTGGGGGATTGTATTCTTGACTGCGGGGCACAGGTCGGCCAGTGTTGCGGCGGGTGGTGCGGTGGGCGATGCGGCGAGTGGAGCCGCGTTAACATTGGCAAACAGTGGCTTGTGCTTTCCTGTATAATACCGGTAGTCGAACCTACTCCCATGTCTCTTTCTCAATCAATCTCAGTCGTTTCAACACCTCACAATACTGGCGCTTTTTAAAGTTTCTGGCAATTCTATGATATGGCGCGGTCGGATTTTGATACAACCTAGCCCAAAGGGTTTAATAAAATAGTTCTATGTTTCAGTAACCTTTGTCTATTCCTCTTGACCCTCGCCAACCCCACCGCTCTGTTTAGCCCCCTTGGCACTGCAGATGTCATCTGCACGGGGGGAGAAGTTATTAGTCAAACGAACTCCACTAAGGCCAAGAGGGTGGGGTAGTGGGGATTATGCACCAAGTATTACTTTGGTATGGATGTGGGTGACCAGACACTCAGGGCATGGTTTGGCGTCTAGACCCGCAGACCGTCGGGTATCCCACCCCCGATTAGGCTCCCAGGGCCGGCCAACTATAGGGAATACCTCTTGGATGGACCCTTGATTTAGGCGGGCACCATTGGAGCCATGGGGATTGGAATGCCAAAGGGGACTACTCCGACGGTGGGCTACGTCCTAGAGCGGACTATACCGAAGGCAGGTACCTTCACCCTTATTGGCTATCAATTCAGAGGTGCCTCACTGGGAGATGTTACATCCTCCGTCTCTGCTACACCTCCGGCGATTGAAAACTCAACACCACGGTTTTTATCATGAGTTTTTGTTTCATTGCGAAACTTTCTCCACCCTCCCGCCCACTCCTGCCTTTGGCCTCGGCCTAGGGGAGTCTGGCTCCTCTCTCCTCTCACGCCCAGGGTATTGACTTCGGTCTACCGTCGCAGGGCCTCTCTCTCCTTGGGGGTTGGTCAGTCGGAGGCCCTCCTTGGCTGGCTGACAGGTGGTGGGATCCCTTCCACTACAGTGACGCTATCTCTCCCAGAACAAGGGACTACATGAGAGACGCGGTAAAACACCTGCTTTGCTTTGCCTAGGTGGCCATTGATGATCTTCCTTACTCCCCCTTCCTCCTCCCCCCACGCATGGTGGGGAGTCCTCTCCTCCTCTTGAGTTGGCCTCGCTTAACCTTCTCACGGTCGGCAACCCCTTAACCACCATCGTCAGATGGCCGGGACTACAGTTGCAGTAGGGGAGAACAGCCAACAGGCTACGGTCGATCTCCCCATTCTCTTGTTTCCCTAAGAGGCTGCCTAGTCAGACACGAATGCGATACCGATAGACGTTGTTTAAGGTCTTTGGGTCTACCCCTCCGCTCTCCTCTCCCTATGGTCGGATCGGCTGGCACCCTACTGCTAAACCTTCCCCTCTCCCCGGTTATCGCCCACGGCCGGCTGGTCTCCTCCTTCCCTCCATGGTATTGCACTGTCTCCTTGGAGGGGTCTGGGGTGGGTCCCCTATCTTAGCGTGCTTCAGGCGTCGCTTCCCGCCCGGATGAGTGGACTCGCCCTTCGGGGCCCTACGTGGCTTGCTACTAACCTTTCTTTTGTTCTTTGGGATTTCTCAACGGGTTTTCCTGGCCCTTCCTGCTTTCTTCTT